GGGGACAAAAACTGTGACTCTCTGCATTACTAATCAACCGGGGAGAGGGGAACGAAATGGAACAAAAGAGTCTGGTAGAAGAGTTCAGACACTGATTGAAAGAGGTGAAACCTTAATATATTGGATTTTAAAATGAATCAGAAAATAACTAAAAACACTCACTCTGACCCGCAATCTATTAAATTCTTCATTATCAACTACCGTATTTCTTTTCATTGATCTTGTGTCATGAAATGCTTCATTCTTATAAAATCTTTGTGTCAAAATGTGTTCAGCAGCATTAAGTTTGAAGTCATTAAAGGAAAGGATGAACACAGGACAGTTTTGTTTGTGATGGAGTATGGACATGAATGGAAAAGGGTAAGAATTAGAGAACTTACAAGGTCATTTCTTAACAGAAAAATGAAAAATATTAAAATGGTGATTTGTGAGCAGAAAATAAATGAGGAAATCTTAAAGCTAAGGAAAAAGCATGTGTGTAATGCATGCATTCCTTTTTTTCAAACTCTGAATCACTTGAGCAACTTGCCTCTTAAAAAAGAAAATGTACATTTTATGACACAGAAGTGTCTCCTGCAGTTCGTATCATTGTCCATTTATTACTCAGCAGTTTCCAGTGGGACCTTAATGTCACACTGGAAGGATAAAATAGTGTGTGATATCATTGCAATCAAGCATTAAATCATTGTCCACAGATGGATAATTTGGCGCCAGCACTAATTTCCTGCATGCTGGTGCGTCCGTCGGTGAGACTTCAAAAAGATGTATACAGAAGCCTTGGCAGTTAAGGCTGCATCAGTGGACGTACGACCTTGTAGGTGTTCCCTTTCAGTCTTAGCATCCTTGGCATACAATTGTTGCCTTGAGAGGAGGCTAACTCGAGGTTTTACATGCTTGGTTAACATTAGTCACTGTATGCAACAGCAGCATCATAATCAGCCTTTATTAAAGTCCTATTAAGGCTTTCATTTCAAACAATTTAATGGCCCGATTGCTCAGAATACTCCCCTGTTCCAAACTGCAGCTGTCCTGTCTTTGCATCTGGTTGATTTGCCACCCCCCTGGACAGAGTGGTTTGTCCGACATCAAGCCCAGTAAATCCTGAATGAATTTGGCTGAATATTGATGAACCCTGCGCTGTGATTGGTCATTACCACAGATGATGCTGTGCCAGGCATCTTCAGGTTTTTTCACCTGCCTTCTCCAGATCCGTGCCCACATGTACCGTCAAAACATACATGTGTGTATGCAACACCCATTTCAGTATGATCTCGCTGGCACCTTCCGTCGCTGTGGAATTTCCTTTATTTTAACCATTGCCTCCCACATCCGAACAGCAGGCTGACGTGAATGCATCTCGCTGGGAACGTGAGTGTTGACATCTTACAACGTCTTGTTTATTTGTTCAGAAAATTGGATATTTTGAGGGATGTAGGCTTTTTTGGTGTGTGTGGAGATGAGCCAATGATGATTATGACAAGTGCAGTATTTGTCAGGAGGACGCTGTTTTGATTTTTTCCCTGGAGGTTGAGTTGTCTGTTGACTGCTGGCATGCAGACTGGTCATTTGCATATATTTCTGTGAGTGCATCTATTCGTCGGGGCACATGTTCAGTAAATGAATCTCATGTAGGATTTACATATATCTTTTTCTTATGTGCCAGTCAGTTGTCCTCAGAAATCTATCTGGTTCGTAAGTGTGACGTCACTTCCGTTTAAACCACGCCCACTCCACATGCACTGCACATAGAGTTACATGCATTGATCGCCGTATACATGGAACCATGGAACCAGAAGTTAACTTGTAACTTCAGCGATCGGCCAGTGGGAGCTTGCAAATTGTGGCGTGTCCGCCTTTGTGACGAAGTCACTTATGAACCGGATACAGTTTAACACGTCTTTCAAAGCCTGCACTTTTAGCATGTAATGACATTTTCCAGATTCCCCATTCTATAAAACTTGTTTCAAGAAGATCTTGCTTTCTTAACATGTTGTAAAGGTTAAACTGCTATTTCTATTTGCATGTACATGTTTATAATTGGTGAAGGGTAATTCTTTAAAAGTGCTTGTATGGCTCAGGGTTTTGGTTGCTCAGTCAAAATTAAAAAGCGCCTTTTTGATTTATTTGTTCCTCTATGGTGTATTTTGACTGCCGACATTTTGGACAGACACATTAAGATAATTTATGTATCCACTGACATTCCCAATTGCTGTACACAAACCTTACCCATGGGAGCCCCTGGCTTGCAAATAGACCCCCATGTACATGTAAGCCAGCTCCCATTAAGATGCAGAATACATCATTTAGATTTTATAGTGTGATACTGGGACTAACGGTGCATCAATTCAAGCTTCTCAGACGATGCAGGAGCAGGAGGCCGCGTGCTGGGTTCTAGTACCCTGTTTCTTTCCCTGTCTGTTGCATCTTGGTAACAGCAAAGCAGGCACTTGTTAGCATTCCCATGCAGCCTCTGTTTTAATAACATCAAGTGCATTTTCTCTCTTTTCTTCCCCGCTGCTAATTTTCTCCCTTCACATTTCATGTTGTTTTCCCTGGCCATAGCTAATGGGCTGCTGAGAGCTTTTAAAACCTGTCAAGTCAAGTGTCAATGTTTGGACTCGCAATTGGTGATAGAAGGGATGAATTATAGATGATGAAGATCATTTGCTTGGATGCTTAAGATCTCATTTGTAGAGCTTTATATTTTTGTATTTGATTATTGGGGTTTTGCCTTTTAATTTGGATTCAGTTGTCAGGATGTTCATTTTGATTAGTTTCAAATCCTGGATATTTTAATTGGTATAGTGCAATGTCATTTATGCTAAATGCTTACCCGGTGCTCATCGTGTTAAAGTGAAACACTTTCCCTGTCCAGAATTCAGCTCTCAAAAGTCCACAGTTTTAATATCAATAGAAACGATCATTATTTGAATTTTTTTCCCGAGACACAGTTGGTCCTGGAATGAGAAAGAGCAAAAAAATTATGAATTGATTTCCAGACAGAATCAATTACTTACGGATACATGATTCCCATCCTCACATCCGTGTGCAGCTCCCCGGCTTATCCAATCATTATTTGTCACTTTAATCGTGCATGGTGTGCAAGCCAAGCCAGCTCTCGTGACGAAGGTTATTTGATGAGAACAGCAGTTAAGCCTCGGCAAACATTGCTTGGTGCTCACCCCAGGAGAACTTGCCCACTCTCAGAATGATTCTGTTGCTGGGTATGAAAGAAAAAAAAAAAAACAAGGAAAAATTGTGGAGGACTCTCCCGAATAATCTTCAATCCTTGATTCCCAGTGGCCACCTAGTAATCCCTCATCATCGCAAAGAAATGAGATTATGTCAGAAAGCCACATGTAATATGTAAATGTCAAGAGCCATCATTCCAAGTAGTGATCTACAGAAGCCAAGCTTTGACTTTTCACATTGAGTATTCTGTGCAGATTATGGTAATGAATGCAAATGATTTGCTGCTTCGACTTATTGAGAATACCGTAATGACAAGCTGAAGTGAATGCACTTTCCAGGCAGTAAACATGCATGCTGTGTCCATTTTCCCTGGATCACGCGAGAAAGCCTGTTCTCATGATTTTATTATCAAATTTTCAATTCCACGTTGGTCAATAATTAATCTTCTCATGCACTCTCTTCCCGGGAACACTCGGTGGTCCCTCACTATGCAGGAAGCAAGTGGCAGATTCTTTGCACTTCGACTTTCATGGGCTGTCAAGTTCTCTGTAAAGTAACAGTGGCTGGACCCTACTGGTACTTGTACGAAGTACCTTACATACATTCCTCAATTCAAAAAAGCTTCCAAAAATCTCATATTGGATTTTGAAGGATCTTAGGGTTAAAATCATGTGTCATAGATCTTACATCAGCTCCAGAGCTGGTCCCAAGGGAAGGAAATAAAGCAGTGATGGAATAAAATATGTGATATATGTGCAAAAACAAGTACACGGAGAGATGCAATTCTTCACAAATATGGTGTACATTGATATGCTTCAATCTAAAAGCCAAGGTGGCGAGATGATATTCACATTATTATATGGAAAACTGGGGAGTGTATAGATTGCCAAATGGTTTGAAATTTGGAACAGACTGTTTATCTGCCGGTGAGGTTGAAACTTGAAATAGATCATGTGTTGCTAAGTGATCATCAAGCAAAAATACCCTGCATCACGACTCTTGAAAGCTTTCCCAGTCAGTTTCTCATTGCATGATGCATCATCACCACAACAAAATCCTGTTGCAGAAATGTAAATCATATGAGTGTTTTGAGTTTGTGACTTGGTAATCTGTTTAACAAATGCGTCAGCAGCATTGCAGCAAAGTCGCAAGGGAACTGCGGAGGAAGAGAGTGTTGAACGAAAGATGAAACCATTGCCACTGTTATCTTTATTCATTGGGATCTTTGTATGATGGGCTATGCAGGGGCTGCAGGTTATTTAGCCAGGGCTTCATAGCCTGATACAAACACTCCACCTAGCCATTTCTGCTACTGCCGTCTATTCCTGATGCACGGTCCAGTGCTGAAAACTGTCAGATGCCACTTGTACGCGTGTCAATTCTGGAAGGCACTGTGAATTATTCATTAAAGGTAATAATCCTACACAATTTGGTTGAATTGGTCTTTGGAACGTGGTGGACTGCAGCGCTGCTCACTGGATGTGGTGCACATTCCTTGGATATTTATCCCTGTTATTAAGGTTCAAGTTTCTCTCTGGGGGAGATGTGGATAGGGTTTTTCAGTTCTTCTGTTGATGACTTGAGGTTTTCCTCTACAGTAGTCAGCAATGGAAACCTTTTTGCCGTTATTTTCACAGCACGGGTTTTTCAGGTTTGTGAGCTGCAACATCATTGTCTGTGAAGGAGTCCTGGTTATCATATCAGAAATTTTGTGTGATGTACATTTAAAGGTCAGTAAGTTGGCACGTTTGATTATCTGTATTTCATTGTTATTAATTTTATGTTTTGTTGTAATGTTTTGTTTTCAGGTACCAAGCAGGCAATGACATCCCTAATCAACCCATCCTATGACAGCAACGCCATATCACCTTCAGATCAAGTCAATGCAAACACTACCACCACCACCACCACTGACCACTCCTTGTCTAACAAGCTTAGCGATGCCCTGGAGAATGACCTCAAAGCCCTGAACCGCAAACAGGAGGAGCCTTCCACCAAAGACTCCAACTTCACCTTTGAGTTTGACAGCAACGGCGGCGGCTCCAAGCGTAACTCGGGCTCGGGCAAGAGCCGGACCAAGTACGCCTCCACAGACCTGTCGGAGATGGGTATTGGTAACCCCTTGGAAGCGCTGGTGGACAGCGACGGGGAGATGGACGAGCGGCTGACCGTTGCTGACGACAACATCCTGCGGGAGAGGAACAAGAAAAAAGCCGAGGCCATGTTTGCCGACATCGACTTCATTGACGATGGAGAGGAGGATGACTACGAGGATGAGGATGAGGATGAGGATGAAGAGGAAGAAGATGAGCAGGAGATGAAGAATGAGGATGAAGTTGCCAAAGACAATGGACGTGAAAAGGACACAAAACGAATGAAGATCACGGACAAACACGAGGACATTGAGGACCGGGAAGAACCTAAGGACCCAGATGCAGACATTGTCTCACCGGATGAAGAGGTCCGCGCATCCCAGTTGGGCGGCTTTCTCCGCTACTACGCAAACCTGGAATCGATCACCAAAGGCCGCATGGAGAACCCGGACGATGAGATCACCTCCATTAACGGCAGCATCAGCGACTCAGATGATGACAGTGAGATCAGAGAAGGATTGTATGAACCCCCACAGCATGCCACCCCTTACGACTCGGGACCATCGACCATGGATGACGACAGCACTGACTGCGAATCCACCTATGAAATGCTGTACAACAGTTTTGGACTGCGAGTGCAGGAGGAGGGCATTGCCAAAGAACTCCTCTCCCCATCAAATGGACAGCATGACCATGGCTATGTTAGCGAGACCTCGGTGGATGACAAAGCCTCCCCCATCAAACGGCCTGGCATGCTCCTCCGCGAAGGCAGTAAACCTTCCCTCAGCACGCTGATCGAGGACTCCAGGAGCGGAGACAAAACCAGCCAGCAAGATGAGGCCGAATCAGGAGTTGAGATAACCCCAGAGCCCAAGACCAACAAAGACCCACTGAAGAAGAGCACCTTACAGAAGCCCACATCTTTGCCACCAGGGTGGAAGGAAGTAGCTGACATGAGAGGGACCTACTACTGGCATGTCCCTAGTGGCACTACACAGTGGAACCCTCCATCACCCGTGTCCAGTGGGGAATCATCTACAAGTCCACCAAGAAAACCTGCACGATCGGTAGGTACATGTACAACTTTGAAAGCCATCAACATAAACACCATTGCATGACACTGTTCAATCAAAGTCTCCAAGGGAACCAGCAATGGTCCAAAATAAAACAACTCACAGGAACTACAAATTTTATATAACAAGTATTTAAGGACTTGACCTTTCTTTAAAAAATTTCATGTTAGGAAGAAAATTGTAACATGATGGAGTCAAAATAGCAGGGATCAGGTTCTGACTGTATTTGGGCATTCTGTTGCCAGTCCCTGCCACTAAAAATTGAGATTGAAAAACATGAAACAAAATTTAGTGTCTGTGCTTACCTATTCCCAAAATTTGGGTCTGCAAGCCCAGTTTCCACTGTATTTTTGCATCAAAATCAAATTAAGCAGTAACTTTGAATGTGAATAGCATGGCCACTAAGACGTTTCAAAAATAATTACCTGTCTGCTATCAAAATTCTTACATGTTTGAAAGAAGGGACGTCCATTTTTCTTTATTTAACCTAACTTATTTAAGGTAAATAGATGAAAAGAGAGAAAACGCCCTTCATATCACACTTCATACATACACCTGTGATAAATGCAACTGATCTTTCCTAGTGGCAAAGAAATCATGTCCAGAGTCTTGCTTTGAAAAAAAATAAACAAAATCTTTTCTTCTTTTTTCTGCATATATTAAAAAAATTGCTACTTTGTGTTTGTAATGACTGCTCGCATTGTAGCAAACTTGTTTTTTCCCCATCTCATGCAGGTTGTCCCGTTTTTCAATTCTAATCTTTTCAATTCAAATCAGGCAGCTTTAGAAAGAAAGCAGACAAGGACAGTAAACAGGTTAAGTTTATGACTTGGCCCCAAGATGGAGGGAGAATTGCCGCTAATGCGTCAGGGAGCATCTGCGAAGCCCCAGGCCATGCACCAAATATTGAATGACGAAAACCGGCCCCATTATGCTAATAATTGATTTTCTGTGTGGGGTATTTTGTCTCTCTATTCACCATCCCAACCTGAAATGAGAACGCCGTCGTGATTCCAAAAGTAGGTGTTTTTTGTCCCCCGTGCACTGTGCAGTTCCTATAGATTTGAGTGACGTGAATAAGGAGGGAGTTGGGGGCTGTTTTCGTTGACAACAAAGCATCAAAACTGGGACATGCTATTAATGTGAATCCTGAGAGAAATGTTCACAGACCCCCCAAAATCAGCACATGTGCATGTGCATACATGTACAAGATCAAATTTGGCCCGTTATAAATACATGTATGCAATAGTGCACTTGCCAATAAAATTACAAGCATATGTATTCATCCTTTGCATTCAATATAATTGATCCCTATACGTACCTTCTTGGGGCACATCCAAGAGAGTCTTTTTTATTACCCCATGTGATGTTTTGAGTGGTGCATTGGCAGGTGTACTGGAGTTTTCATACTCAAGTACTTTTCCCACAGTACTCGCACACATACATGTACCTAAACTGCTCATGGAAAATGTACATGCATACAAGTACACGTACAGTGATAGTCGACTGCCGGTACCACCTTGCTTGGCTGTATGATAAGCTTCATGTAAACAGCTGCAATATGCTGAAGCATGTCATCACAGTAGCACAGTTGGTTACCATGGAAACTTGCTGAAAGAAACCTAGAAGATTGCAACTTCCAAGGTACCCAGTACATGCATTGGAAATTGCACTTGTCACATTCCTTCAGTCCACATGTTTAACAACAATCCCATCATTAAATTTACACATTCTGACACATGAAGTACACATGCATTGTACACAAACCTGCCATTTGACTGGCACTGTTACTTTCCCTTGGGATAGAGGTTGATGGATATGTAATTCCTTGTTCAAAGGAACAAACCACAGTTGGTCACTGGAAAAGATTATGAATTTTCATCACATTATGTACTCTTATCACTACATCAGCCCTCCAAAAGAGAAAGGATTTTTTAAAAGAACTCTAATGAAATCCTTAGGGATCGTTCATTTCAGCCCATTGAACTGTTTGTACCCTGACAATTCATTTGCCTCTCCTCTTCCAGTTAAGTGAGAGCAAACAGTCAAAATTGTGAAATAAACAGAAGTCAGGAAAGCTTCAGTTACCAAGGAGGATTTTTTTTTTGGGGGGGGGAGTTGAATAAGGATGGAAGACGGTGAGAGAAACAACTGGAGTGCCGGTCTCTAATTCATTCATAGCACGGCAGTTGCAGCTGGGGATGATTTTGTACACAAAATCTGATCTCTCCAGAGGGTTGAGAACAAATACCGTGGATATTGTCGTTCCCTTTAGGAGAGCGAGGAGATGGAGGGGGGAGGAGAGGAAAGCATTCGAATGAAACTACTTGACATTTTGGGGCATGCAAGTGTATGGAAGAGGTGACTTGATAAATGGCAGACGAGAATCGGCAACAAAAGTGTGGCTGTGGAAATAGTCTGAATTTGAGTGTGCTTTGTTTATTGCTTCTTTGTGTCTGCATGAAATGAGCAAAATTGGATGAGCTTAAAAATAGGAAATTATAATAAATTTAACTGTTATTTACTTTCTACATGTTTTTTTTAAGAAAAACACACACATACCGATGTACCTGTAATTTGATGTGTTGCAAACGCACACATGAGAATGAACAAAGATGTCACTAAAATCAGAAAATTACTTGCACATCCAGAAATGGTGCATTTTGATAAAAGCAAAAATTCCAGAGCATCAACAGGTTGTCTTTTGTGAATGATGCTAACTGCACGACTGCACAAATGTGCTCATACATGGATGCAGCCCCTCCATGCAATTTATTCAAAGCTATCCCACTGGTGGCTGTTCTTCTTTGTCCTCAACAAACCGCGTCATTAAGTATAAGTATTCCTGTACAACACATCAGGGTCCATGGATTCCTTTTATTCTTTTCTTTTATTCAATGGTGGGACATGAGCTCCGAAAGCCTCGGGGAAATGACGCGTAATCAATCCACGGCGCGCGGCCGCGGATGGTCTCGGTGCCCACGGACTTGCAGCGGTGTGTGTGTGCCCCTCGCTCCCTGCACTTCAATTATTCTGCTTGCGTAGAGGGATGGTGAAGTGGGATGAGTCATCCTAACTGCAGCAAGATAAGTAAATGCGATGAGCGCAGGCTTGGTGATTAAGGATTACTTGCCTTCTTGTTTTCTTTCACACAGGGAAGAAGTTTGTCAGAAAACTTTGCAGCTGAGTTTAATTTCTTGAAATGCTCTTATTTGGTTTTTTTGTCATCAAGTGGCCATTTTTGTAATTTTTAAATAAAATTTAGAATCAAAAATCAAGTTGAGTTTTTCATCCAATTTTCTTTTATTGAATCCTGCATTTTAATTAAAAATGCAGCAACCCACAGCAGCACAGTGAATTAATATCCGTTCCTACATTGTTTCCATTTATGATTTTCAGTGTTTTTTTTTCTCATATTCCTTAGTTTGGAAAGTTTTCAGAAACAGTACATATATAAAGGAAAGGTTGGCATCACCTGAATTAATAAAAATGTTCTGATGTTATCTGTCAAATGCTCTAGAGTCTCTGTTTGAAAAAAAAGAAAAGAAAAAAAACTTCTGTGGTATTTGATTAAAATAGTAACCGCGGTTACACTGGGTCCGTCTGGCCAGTGTTTGCCCAGCAAATGCAATTTGGCCGGGTAACGAGTGGTAAAATGCACACCGTGCATATGGAGATGGGGATCGCGGTCCATTACCTGCCTGTCCAATCGAGACGAGAAAATCTGTCTTGGGACAAACAAATGGAGCCACTGATACACAGCACATGTACCGCAGAGGACAGAAAAAAAAGTGGGATTGACGGCATGACAAAATACCTGCATCTGAACAATCTTTGTGTCATTTTAAACATGCTTTTCATGTGAAAATGTGACCGGGCTCGATACTTAAGCAGCATATTTTCAAAGTTATCCTGGTAAAATCACAAATAATTTTCTTGGAATGCAACCAAATCTTTATGTAAATAAGCAGCTTTAACACAAATTAATTACATACATGTACAAGGAAAAATCTGTACATTTCTTTTGAAATATACAGGTATGTTTCATGTATCCCTTTTCCATTGCCAGCAAACTCTGAAAGTGCATTTTTGATACGTAAAATCACGCCCTTGTATACAGAAAGGTAACCTTGTAAAAGTGCTGGTCTAAACATTGTTGCCGTTGAAGCAAGTTACTTTACAGTGTACATGTAATTTGAGAGGAACATAGTTGTATCCTCTTCATCAGAAAGTTCTTCTGTCAACAAATTGATGAAATGCAAACAGTGGGCAATAGATGAATATAACTGTTACTTGGCAACTGATGACACACGTGGACACACTGGCTACGTGGTCTCAAACATGGCAGCCTAATGCAATAAGTTCATTTGTGTGGGACATTGTCAACACAGCAAGCATTGTCATTAAAAAGGAGATTTCAGTATGTAAACAAGGTTCTGTCAGAGCAAAAAAAATGCTGAATAAACAACAGGGATAGGGGAAATAAAGTATATCATGAATCATGAACTGGATGTAATGCCAGTATTGTTTGATGTTCTTTTCCAACTTTCATTAGTACATCTATAAAGTATGTGTACTCTGAGTGCACTAGTCCACCAAATTCAAAACCTTGCAATTAAAAAATGTGAGCCATCACAACAAATTTGTCTTGTATCATGCACATGCCACACAGACCTAAAGCTTGAAGAAAGCCTTGTGAAAAGGAATTATCATTATGTACATGTACAGTTTGGGTTTGTAGAAACAAAACAACAGAGTGATAATACACTGGAGGGAAGGAAGGCTACATGTACTTGTTTGAAAAAGCTACATACATATCTTACGTGTGCAGTGAACAGCATTGACCATGATACCGGTAGATCAGTGGTTTCCCTTATTGCCCAATTTCATCAGGCCATCCTGAGAGTTTCCTTATTTCCAGATACTCTTGGGGTACAATTCTTGACTGAAATAAATGTAACTAGGAAAAATCTAAATTGAGGACCTGATTTTTTTACCTAAATGACACATACATGTACATAATAGAAACAAGAAAGTAGGGATTTGGAGACAGTTGGTGTGTCCATTTCAAAATAAATCTTGTCAGAAAAGTTTGCGAGGAATTGAACTTTTCTGTTCACACACTCGCAAACAACAAATGAGCATGGAGGAATAAATAAAATTGAGATTTCACTTGTCCCAAATTTTTCCCCCTTGACTGTGCCCATTATTGGTCATAAGTGATCCTTATTATCTTTGAGCAAAAATTCTCCAATTAAGTGAGACTTGTCTCTGCATCCATTTTACACAGATTATCTTCACCCATACATGTAGATAACAAGATAAGCTTATTTGCTGTTTTTTCCCCCATTTATTTCAGGCCTCTTGTGCCTGTCTGATTGCATGCAGTCAGATCTCTCTTGTCTTGTCCCATCTGTTTGTCTGCTGTCCCTTATTTCCCAGTGGAGCAAATTGCTCTTGTGTCAGTTTGTCAACATCTCCTGTGTGCTTGCCTGTTTCAGCCGGCATCTTTGGTTGGCACTGATAACCAATATTTATCCGTGGGTTCTAGTTTCCTGCTTCAGATGCGTCTGTTTCAGCTGTCCCGGTTGTCTGAATATTTATTGCATATATGCAGTGCACATGCTGCCTGCATGTTGCAGGTTATGAATGTGTATGAGAAAGCAGTATAGACACATATGAACTAGTTCTAATGTGCATATACGGTTTTGTGGAAATCCGTACTCTTTCCATCACATCTCCTTGAATGGTTGCTTCAGTTCTTTGATTCATTAAGCTGTCTCAGGGTGCTGTTAAGTTTGTTTTCCATTTACATGTACATAAACGTCTGCATTCATTTGTATATGTACATGATTACCATAACACCATTCATGTGATTCCAGTGGATTTTGGGATGATTTGAAAAGTGAAAAGAAAGTCCTGTTATTCCAGCTGTTTGAGTCTGTTAGGACCTACAGACTGCATGTGTTGCTGATATATATTTAATTCTGTTGGATTATCTTGGTTCTTCTAATGAAAACTTGAGGGCCTTCAGTACTAGTCATCTTCATATCTGACTGCTCATGAGGTCATTGGGCAAAGGTGCCATGAACCTTGCACCTTAAGAAACACAAACGCCGCTTTCTTTAATACATACCGTTAACTGAACAAAATCAGCCCTTTTTTCAGCACAGTTTGGTCTACAGGCTATGCCGTGAGTCACTCATGCACACACATACATGTACACACACTTGCTACCATAACTTGCTTAGTATGTCAAGACACTGTCTGCCCTAGCCGTGCCTGTCATGGCCAATCCAAGCATCTCTTGTTTAATTTAGACACCGGGAAACGCCAGTGTCTGATCAGATCTGATTTGATTAATCAACTACCAGCTTGTCAGCTCTTGGAATTGCGACAGAAAATATAATGAGCAGATTCACTTCAGGATTAGTTGATTGGTTCAAGTTCATTTCTGTTCGGTTTATTTTTTGTTTGATATAATTTTACTAATGAATTAGTAAAAGAATGATAAAAAATGACTAGCCAGGGTGTGAATTTCTTTCAAGGCTGGTACAAGCACAGTAAATTTGTTTCAAATGCAACAGGATATTGTATTTTCTGAAAACATTTTAATAAGATAGAAATCGCTGAAAAGCATTTTGCTGTTATATCTACATGTACCTCAATTTTTTTTAATGTACATGTATATATAAGTACGTAAATTTTACCTATGTTGTGGTGATCCTGCAGTGTTAAGAATAATTGAAGATTGGAATAAACCTGGTGTTTACCAGTGTCTGCATGGGACCTTATGCTAAGCCTCATGATTACCAGCTCTGGCTGAAATGTCTAATGCATATCACCATGCCCAACATAATCTCTACATGTGACTTGTATTAGCACTCAGGTCGTAACGTGTCAGCTTACACAGGCTGAATATCACTGGAACTGTTCAGTGTACACGTACCTATGGGGTGGTTATTGCTTAGACATGCACTCAGCCCGGCAGTCTGTCACGCACGCCTGTGGCCATTATGCGTCAAGGATTTATCTGCATGCGCGCTCCGGCACAAACGGAGCGTCCATAGTGGATGCACCCTGAGGCATGCTGGCTGGCCGGCCACACTGCATGTGATCAGAGCGCGGGGCTTGTAGCCAAAAGGTGTGAAGTAAAATGCCTGAGATGGGGGGGGGGGTGGCTTGCAGAGGGCTTTCTCCCTTGTCTAGTTTATGACCAAGCTCTCTATGCTGGCTTTTGCATAAACTGGCAATCATGAATAATTGTAGTGTTGAATTGAACAAAAGGAACAATTTAGGTTCAAGAAATGTGATCTTGGGAAGGCCCATATGCATTATAATTTCACTCTAGCTTTTTTCAAAATTTGCAAGTAAATCCAATTCATTACTCCTTACCATTAATATTTATGGATAGATAAATACATGTAGTTGTAAATTGTCATGTCATCTTTGCTACGTGAGTAGTGCCTGTAGTTGTACCAAGTTCAAATGTTATATGCCCAGTTTATTTGCAGGTAGAAACGTTCAAATTGTGAGAAAACACAAATTGTACAAATTGTCTTGCTACAAGCCTTGCAGTATTCTAATTTTGAAATTTGTCTTTGTTTTTTTAAAAACACATTTGCAACTCTATGAAGTCTGAACTCTACTTTTAACAGATCAGTGTAGAGTGGCCTTTTGTGTCCTATACATTTCCAGCCACACTTTTGTTGTCCCTAAGAAAATGCTTTTATACTAAATCCCTCCCTTTTCCTTTTGACAGCTGGAAAGATTGAACACAGAATCAGAGGGCCAAGATGGCAGCGATGGAGATCACAGCCTGAAGGATTTCCAGCAGTCCACGATACGCTACGCCAACCTGAAGCTGGGACCTAACTCGGGCAAAGACCCTGAACCACCTGCATCAAAGGAAAAGAGTGTAAGTGGAAAAACAAGACTTAGTTCCTTGAGGTGGAAGGGGGAATGGTTATAAGTCCCAGATGGATCAGGAAAAATGCATAATGCTCTGTGAACAGCCAACAGTTGGTGAAGACATCTTTATAGAATGCCCTACTCCACTTTATGAATGCTGGGAGCAAGTAAGGCATCCTGAACAGTAACTTTTTATATAAATTGACTAAGGGTCGATTCAAACCATCAACTTTTGGGGTACACTACCAGATGAACTATTCTATCCTGTGCAATTGTTGGCATTGTCACTGTTCTGAGAGTGACTCAGAGATGCTACTAGAATCTCCAGCTAATTTGAAACATTCCGTACCTGTTTTGCATATTATCTGCACCAACCTTCCATTGATATCCCCTTCCATTGATATCATTTATAAACATTTTCTCCCTTTGTTTTCAACCAGCCTCGGGGTATCCGCTTCCATGTGCGTTCCCTGGGATGGGTGGAGATGGAGGACTCAGACCTATCACCAGGAAAGAGCAGCCTGGCTGTCAACAACTGCATCCGGCAACTGTCCTACCGAAAGAATGACATCCGAGACACTGCTGGCATATGGGGAGAGGTAAGGACAGATGAGGGCAGAAGTCTTCAGGTAGAGACAGGATTGTTGTTTTCCCTTTTTTTCTTTGTTTATGGTAGTATCCCATTGTAGCCATGACGTCAAAATCATTCTTTGTTGCTGAGTTGCATGGAATCCTTTGAGAGACAACATTAAGGGAAATGCTAATTTGTGGAAAGAAAACCCCCAATATGCAGGAGCATATAAACACATTGAATGAGTAATTGGAAAAGCCAATTCCCACCATATACTTGGTGAGCTCAGGATTGCATTTCATTTCACTTGCTGCATTTCATTTCACTTGATTATAAGGGTATTTTTGCATTGCAAGAGTCATCCAGATGGAGCAACAAAACTGACTAACCAAAAAAATGGAGTGTTGTAAATGATTGTAAGTGAGAGTTGGGAATATTTGATTTTGATCCTTAATGTGATAGCCATCAAGGGCATACATGCTTTTGTTTTGAAGGGATATGCATTGCAAATTGTATATTCAGTATTACATGTGCTAATGTTGAAAAAAAGGGAGAAAAAATCCAAGAGAAATGTTTCTGAGGAAAATCCATAGTGATCGTTCTGATCCACCAATGTAAATAAAGATCACTAGAGAATGGTGTGGCAAGGTGTGCAAAGGATGGGAGTTCGTCAAAAGAATTGCCAATAAGATGAAGAGTCTTTGGAAGCAGATGATTGGTCTAGGGGAAGCATGTGACTGACAGCGGCAGTCCCAGGAGCAAACCAGTGGGTCCAATCAAATCAGGAGTCAGACGCAGCGAGATGAGTCCTCGCAGTCTGAAGGCAACAGGCTTGATTACATTACAAGGAACGCTACGCGGCCAGACACACAAAAAAAAAGAAAGACAAAAGAAAAAAAAAGTTGCCTAGCTCGCTGAGAGCCACAGATGTATGTTCTGTACAGCCGAGCGTGGTTAAAAACTAGAACATGATCAATCTTGTGTGCAGGAGTTAATGGGCTAGAAAAGGTCATCTGCCAGAAAAAAAGCCTGAGTTTTGTCCTTTTCTGTTTTTGCAGAAGCAGCTTGTTGCGATTATGACTTTTTAGCGACAAGTAAATTTGATCTTTCTGATATTTCTCATTTGGGACAGTGATCCAAGCTTAATGTGAAATTCAGAAGGCAGTACCGTAGGTGTCTAGCCATGGTAGAATAGTGGCCTGTTCACTCAATGAAAAAACTTACAAAACCTTGTTTGGCAGGCTCAAATATATGCATGCGTTTATCTCGCAGGCCAAAACGTGTATTTATCCTGTAAATTTGAATGTCATGGGTTTACTGTAGTTGAGGGAATTAAGACGGCAAGACAACTCCCAAAGGAGAGTGGAAAATATCACAAGGAAGGGACAGTTCTTTTTTCCTCTCTCTCCTTCTACACTTTAACCACAGAGTGAAAAACATAACTCTTGCACATACATACATCACCCCCCTCGAGGCCAGAGTATGTTCTGTTTGCATAAATTTGATTATGCATACAGGATCTGTAACCTGAAAATGGATCGCAATGAAAGCTGCAGATTTTTAATAAAAATCAGGTAATGTCACAGTGCAGTGGAAAAACCCCAAACTGATAAGGAAAAGAGCTCACATCTCAGACCTTGCCATTTCGCTGTGTGTTGCTCACAGTCTAACTTGTTTTGTGTAACGGTATCCTATTTTCCCGATCTCATTTGCTGAATCAGTGTCTTCTTACAGTATTAATTACTGGAGCATTTCATCCAAACTGTCACCTTCACAGTTAATGACTCCGCCCTTGTGCAGTGCTGTCTTTTTCCAGTGGACAGCAGTTGGCCCAAGGACTGCTCAACTTGCAACATTTTTGCACAGTCTGAGCTGCCCCGGGTGACGAGTTTGTGTGAAAGGTGAACCCGCGCACTTGAGCCCTGGATAGAACAGGCAAAAATTTTGGGCCGTGATCTTCCTGAATTCTCCCTAGAGATCAGCCAGAGAGAGTTTTTTCCCTTCTGAACAACGATTTCCCCCAACTCTCCCTGAAGACATTACACAAGAGAAATTCTTGCACCCTGTACAAGTTGCAATCCAATGCTGTAGAAATCCACTCCCAGCATGAAGAATTTCAGAAGTATTGTTTCTCCAACCTTCCCAGGCATCTCAACTCTGAAAGCCTTACAACAACAGCTAAGAAAATCTAGAAATGCAAAAGACTCTGTACAGTCTCCGAATCAATTTATTCTGACTGCCAGACAAAGACGTACATGTGAGTGTGCCGTTTGTCTGCTGTCATGTCGGATGGCCTACATATTTCCTCCCACCCTCATCTGATGACCTATTTCTGTTTTCTTCTCCGGGCTTGATGCAGGGCAAAGACATGTACATGGTTTTGGAGGATGAATATCTGAAGCTGACAGATCCCAACGACGGCACGATACTGAACTCCCAGCATGTGTGTAGCATCCGTGTGTGGGGAGTGGGTCGTGATAATGGAAGGTAGGTGCTGCTAACTCATTCACGATTATTTCCAAGGCTGTCTGTAGAATCTTTGATGAGATCCTTGAAACCGAAGATGTTGATTCCGGGAAATATGTCCAAGGACAAAATACAGTTAATTTCTGCACATGGAAAGAAATCCAGACATGGTTAATTTCCTGACCCAAATTTCTCTTTGGGCAGATATCATTTGAGGAAATGGAAAAAAAAATAAGCACTGATTTGCTGCAGAATGGAGGGAAATAGGCAAATGTTTGTTGAGGTTGAGAATAAATAACTGCTGATAAATGAGGGTTTTTGAAAGCTGGATGCTGAAATATGCCTAGGAACTTTCTGTTAAAAAATTTTTCAAAAAGCCACCAAACAGAATTGGCAACAGTTGAAAATGCCGACAAAATGCATTGTATTTCCAAAATATTTTATCATAATTATTTAGCTTCTCAACTAAAAGTTCAATGATTCCTTTGAATACAAGGATATTGTGGGTAAAAAATGTTCCATTTGGTAAAAGGATATGTGTGAGTCTGTCCAGCCATGGAATCCTCCTTGGCCCTTGTTGCTCTTAAATCCAATAGTGCAATTCAGTGAAGGACCTCAGCTTTAGTACGGGCATTGATCTTCTAGCCCACGTCCGTCCATCTGACCTTTGGTCTAATTCCTGCCTCTTACCAATCACATTATGAGGATTTGCGAACCGGGTAACCTGGTGTGGTAAACGGAGCAGAAGTGGAAAGTAAAATACAACGTGAAATCCACTTACCATAATGAGTTTGGCCTGCCCCTAGTGCCTCTTCAGAGGGAGGACGGTTATTGCTTTTTACAGGACTGATTGACACAGAGTTATCTTCTGCTCTTTTATTGCTGCGAGCTTCCGTTTTCAAATTTGGTGGTTTGGAGTATGACATATAAAATTGGCTTGTGCGTCAAGTCTCCTGATATTAACATAACAGTTCTGTGGACCCCAACATTTTTGTGTATAAATTTTATGCCAGGTTCCAGAGCATTGAGCAAAGGCCAAATCTACCTTTTGCATTTTAGCATAAAAAAGAACATTAATTGATAGTCAGCCAGTGTGTTGGAAAATCTTTCAAAGGTATGTATAGCCCGAATTAACTGAACAACGTGTCTGTTTTTAGTTCAGGGTTTCATCTCAGGACAATTATGCACTTAGCAATCATCTTCATGAAATTGGTTACTGTACGTGCTATTCTGAGAAGAACCCTTTAGAAGAAGTACATTCCCCTTGTAAAGTAGTGGCCAGATAATTAATCACCTTGGTAATTGACAACGAAGGGGAAGATTAAGGCTTTGTGTTTTTATAATAGCTGCTAGTTTAATAAATATCACTACAGCACTGGTTGTCATCTTATATACTGTTTGCTTTAAAAACACCTGATACAAAGTATAATTGAGAAAACTATTTTTTGCAAAAAGTGCTTCTTAATTAAGTAAGCTCTGAAAGGTAATTTGCAGATCTTACCCAGTAGGAGAAATGTCTGGCTCTTGGACTGGTTCATCTCAAAGTTTTCAGTTGTTCTTTTCCATGAAAAGAAATAAATTCTGTCAAAAGTCTGAGGAAAAAACAACAATATTTTATGGATGTTGGCACTGTTTTATGGATGTTGTCCCCGAGCCTGAAGTAATTAATGTCCTCTCGCAATTGTCCCCACTGCGCAACACTTACTAAGGCCAACTGTTAGGGTCATGATTCATCTTAACATTTTCATAATTACTCACAGACACTTCAAATGCATTGGGGCCCAAGCAAGGGAGTTGTGATGGTATGAAAAGATGCACCAAAGACACATCAACGTGCGCTCATCAAGTTATATTCTTTAGCGGGGCAGTTATCAATGTTGATGATGCTGGGCCGGGATATTTATCATTTTTTTATGTCTTCAAAATTCTTTAAGAATTCCTATCTTCATTTACTGGACACTTGCAAAACACGTGAAGGACTATCTGGTGTCCACTCTAGCCTGACAGACAAAATCTATTGATGCCTAAGTATTTCAGCCAGGCCTGCAGCCTTGTAAAAGTAGCCCAGATTGTGCGGTGTAAGTTGTCTAACTTTCTTTTGTTCGCGAACCTGGCTCAGTGTGCTGCTGACTTCTTTTCAATAGGGGCCAGATTAGCATTCAGTGCTGTGTGCTGTGTGGCTCATCCCTGCGGTGGGGGAGGGCTTTTGTCCCCGGTGGTAATCCGCTCGCTCTAAATGCCCCAAACCTTGGTATACTGTTTCAAAACAAGGCTTGATTATCTCCACTTTTGTTGGTAACAATGTTGGTAATTCCCAGCAGCCTGGTCTTTTGTTCCGAGTATGGTCTTTTGTTACAAGGCCCTGTTCCCTTTGTCTGAGTTTTGAAGACCCCGGCCACACATGTAAAGCATACGTGTCCGGATCCGGAATCCCCGGCAGGGAGTGGTTAAGGCAGCTTTGAAAAGATGTGTAATACAGGTGTATCTTTAGATACATTTATATGTTGGTCAAGCAAACAAATACATTGTATGTAAGCATGTAGTTGGAACTTATTATATGTACATTATAAAACACAAGCCAGTTTACTGTATTACACTCTATATTCTGTCTCGACAAATACAGAATTGAACAATATTTGACTTGCGAATAATTTTTTTGTGGTTGTTCCTAGTGGTTTGTAGTATCAAAAACAAAGTACATGTATCTTCACGTTATCTTATGAGAAAAAATTTATGGACATGTGCCTAATTTCCTTTAAACAATATCCCTGGGTGTTTTCTTGGAATAACATACACTCAAAATTGAATTTGAAAATTCTTGAATTAAATGAAGCATTCAATGAATTTAATCTGATAGCTTTTGTTCACATTTTTTCCAAAATTTCTTTTCACATTTCAATGAAATTTTTAATGAGATATTAAATTTCAAAAATAATAATAATAATAAAATCAGCTTGGATGCACCCCTTTCTGTGCCTCGCTGTTTCCCAAGGAAATTCGCTGACATGAATACCCCCGATAGCCCCATGGCATCACCCTCAGAACCTGTATATGAATGGCCAATGAGCCAGTCTGAATCACGTACCTACGCAGGGGTTTGAAAAGGGGGGGGGGAACTTGCTTCAAGTGGCTTGACTTGTGGTAAATGTCACTATTCATTGTGTGAATAGAATCTGTCCCATTGATCTTTTAAAGGAAGGGTTTTTTCATATTTTTGTTTGTCTGGGGTGGAGCGGGGATTCTTGATCGTAATCAGTTGGGAAGACCTTTCTAAACATATACATATACTTCAGATTTTTTCCCCTTCGTGCTTCAATGTACTGTTTGCAGATTTTGTTTCTTTGAGACCATTTTGGGTTTCATTATCCAATTCCTTGGTGTCAGTATTGAGTAAGCAACTGCATCAGCATTTTATCACTTTCGATCTTTTTGACTTCAGCATGGCTAGTTGACATCAGTGATCAAATGTTATTAATCGCTGCATTGTTGAAAGTCAACAATACCTTGGAAAGAGTATTTAAGTCTATGTCAAACAGCAAAATGTCTCTCCCCACCTGAAAAAAATGATAACAAACAGATGAAGCAAAGACAACTTTAAACAACTCACTCAGCAGGTATAGGTGAAAATTTCAATTTATAATATTTCATGGAACACGGGTGAATGTCATCACAAAATAGAAATTATTTGTTTCAGCTTATGTATTGTACTTCAGTTATAGCATTGAGACAACCCTGTCAAGCACAATGGCTATTATAAAAAAAATTTCTGAAAAATGTGAACTTTGGAGTAAGTTAAGTATCCATGAATAATTAATGTTAATTGCTGCAAGATCACTTGATCTTGACAATAATACAAATCCTCCACAGCCTTGTTTGTATAAAATAAGATGAGTGTATTGTGTACACAGACAGCATGCTTTCAGTTTCTTGTTTTAGTCATCTCAGACATACATCATGCCCAAAGCCAGGCTTACATATAGGCTTTAAGGAGATTATCCAAATTAATGGGTCTTCGTGTCTTGTTAGTGTGACTGATGGCCCCAAATTTTATTCCGCTTTGTACGTTTTTCTTCTTTTTTTTTTTTACTATGCTGAGATGTTGATGACTTTATAAATTGGAAGTAGACTCGTTAAAGTGTTGTTAAGCCAAGATAAATAGGCATATACATACATCATCACCTGATGCTCCTTGAGCTCAAAGCAGAAAGTGCATTGGTAATGTCAAGGTCAGTGATAAAACCCACTGTACCATGGGGTGGAAATATCACTGTTTATTTATACACTCAAGCATTGCGTGCAGGTGCTTGCACCTTAGTGTAGTACACGTATGTACGAATGCATGTGTAAATTTGAGATGGACTGTGGAGAACATGTTTGTACTGGGGATATAAAATATAATGAACAGTCATTTACATCTATAAGATTACAAACAGGTGAAATAGATTGGTCAGTTTGTTTGCCATGTCTACATGTATGTGTGCAGGTGCAGTTTTTAGATTGAATCGTAACCAAAAAATATTATAATGATTAATTATATCCAGTGATGTGAATTTCACTGACAGAATGCAATGGTGAGATTTAGTCATTAAGGTCAGTCAGTCTAATGTCATACTCAGTGAAACTCATTCTTGAACGAAACTGTCATGTGATGCCTTTGAATAATGGTTGGCTGATAGAAATAGGGATGCCAAACGCACCTCCAAAATCTATCAGTTTCTGTCAATCAATCATGGTTATATATGAGGGATATTTAGACCGCTGTCTCAAAAGTTATGGATATAATTTCTTATTTCCTTCAGTCACAAGGGTCTCAGTTTATTCACACCCTAAGGCCGCAAAACTTGGACATGAGCCAAGAAGCCGGGACATTCATGGTGACTCACACTCCACATAGCCAGATGAATCTGTTTCAATCCTTCTGCTTGTCTTATTCCATTACCAGTAATCAATGCTGCTGAAATTCCATTGGACTCCCCAGCTAACCGAGTTACCAGCGTTGCCCAAACCAAAATGCAATTTAGAGAGTGAGGATTTCACACCTCAGTGTGCTTCTGTTTGTCATGCAGGAAATCTTAGAGTACGGATTTCATATTTTCAGGAAAATGAAATCTACTTGGCTGCACCTTATTTGGGAACGTAATATCTTTTAACAATAGTGTGTATCGCAGTTTTTGAAGAGTTAATATCATTATTGTTCCTGTGTATGTTGAAGTTCCAAGAGCAACACAACAAGCTGGTGAATATCAAATTAAAAAGAAATACCAAACCAAAAGCTGAGGTGAAAGGCTGACATTTGAAATGCAATGAAGCTAGTAATGAAACACGTACATCTCCCACCCCCACCTCTTTCCTCTTTCACGGTTGGCGAGATCTCCCTTTCCATCTTAAAGAATATCAAGTGGAATTCAGCAGTGTTGCTGGCCATAAACCAGTGGAACTCTGGGTGTCAAAAACAGGGCTGACTTTGTGGACTAATGGACTTTAAATAGGATCTGCCCAGGGAGGTGGGGGAAGAGTATAATGTATGATGCTTATTTCGATCTGTTGGTATGGAGCTATAAACTTGTGAAGCAATGCATCTCTTTCAGAAAGAAATTGTTTGTCCAAGGAGCGTGTGTTCTTTTAAGTTCCATGTAATTAACACATGGGGTCAAACTGATTTGAAATTTTCAGAAAAAATACATATTTTATGTACATGTTGCAGTTTTTCTTCTTTAATAAGAGATACCTTATGAAAATGGTATGTATCGTAACTCCGGTTTTTTTGGTATTATTCTAGACTTTTCTGAAAAAGCTCTTTAAGGACCTGTTTTTCCTCTACATTCTTTTTTAAGTCTAATCTTGTGCCAGAAATGTAAGTGAGAAGGTTTTTTTCAGGAGTATGGACTTCTAAAGTCCTAGTTATCCTTTACTTGCAGTTGTAAAGAATAGTAGAGATTTAATTCCTCCTGATATCCAGAAAAATACTGACAGGGAAAGAAGACTGAAGTCCATCAGCTCCTGTGGAAGTACTTGTTTGTGATGCAAAGATTATCAGATAGCTACATGTTGACTAACAATGCTTGTCTTGTTTCTCCCTTCCTCTCTAACCTGATCTTCATTAATCTGTCACAGAGAAAGGTAATAAAAACTAATGTTCATTGCTATTTCACTCACTGGCCCTATCTTTTGTGTGTGTATTCGTGCACTTTCCAGATACGTTCCACGTTTTTGCAAGGGAGTGTCAAATTGACTTACATGTATGCACAGTTAGATATATCAAGGATGTCTGTTTGTCTGTGTGTTGTTACATGCCCAAGACAGCCTTCCATTGAGGGAACAATCTTTTGTTTAGAAATACAGTACTGAGTTTTTGTAATCATAAAGAATTTGTCCCTATAATAACTATTGCTCAGCACGTGTGTAGTCCCTTCAACTGCTGGTATTCATGCCAGTATGTGTACACTTTCACCATCGTGTCTTTTTTTTTTCACCATAATTTGTTTTTCTCCAAAGTGCCTTATTTTATTTCAAGTGGATGTCTTCTGAGATGTACACTCTTGACCCGTATTTGTTGTTGAAGATTTTGTCTTTGGAAATAATTTTTTCTGCATGTTCATGCTTATTGAAATTCCTTTTTTTCTTCTGTTTGTGTATACATTGTTCTTCAAGAACCTGCACCTGTTGGTGCAACATGAAAGGGTATGCATGTTGAGCACATTTTTTCTACTCTGTTCTTTGTGGCTTTTTGTTAAGTTTGAGGTTGAAAGTCCCAAGCAATGTCAAACCTTCCTGAAATGTTTTCTCTTTTGCATGCATAAGTTGAGATATCTTTGAGTTGTACCGTACAAACATTGATATTTGGGTATTGAGCCCAATAGCTCATTATTATTGTGGTTCACAAATTAATCACTTTAAGTTGATGTTAGAGGGATTCATCGTTTTCTAAATCAAACTGCAGATTAGATACCTATTCCAAAATCTCAAATCCACTGAATTTATGAAATAGAGAAAACCCACATGAACCGCCCCTCCTTCTCCTCGCTGAAATTGCAATAACTGACACCCCCCGGGACCGTCTTGATTACATCTCCTTTCCTGGGGGGCATGTTGTTTTGCCGACCGCTTTCCTCAAGAAAGATAACACGGCAAAATGCATTTCACGCCAGAACCTGGCTATTTTTTCTGTTTAGCCGTGCACCCAAACTCCTTGGCCTAGTTTCATGCTGCTTGCCCCAAGCTGAGTCCTTCAAACATGAGATGGAGTTTAGTGACAAGACAAGCACCGTTCCTACTGATTGGGACAGGAATGAGCAAATTAAAAATGACACGTCCGCAGAGATGCACATGCGCTACCACGGCTACATGTGTGTATTGGTCTTTCAAATTTGACTATTACCTGGGCCTCACGTTTGTCCGCAGAATTGACCTGTTAGAGAGATTACCATTATGGGCTAACTATAAATGGAGTTTACTTCTTGTTCATTTTTTTGTTATTTGCACGTGAACTGTGTCTGTTCTGTTTGAGGGAGGAAAATGGAGGAGGAAAGTCCATATATCACCTGTGTAATTTTTGTTGGAGCATCACTCTCTCAACCACATCCCAATTTCATGTAGTCGCTTATTGCAAAATGTTGAAATGAGCAAATGAACATATGGAGTGAATACAAATCTGTTTTACTGCAGCATGTCGCATAACAGTTGGGTTTTGAATTGTATTTCTAGAGCACAACTCTTTCACACTCGGCAAGTTTATCCCAGAAACCAGCAGTTTTATAATTACAAAATCTGGTAAACTCACTGTTTATTGTTTGTGCTTCATTTTGCAGGGACTTCGCATATGTAGCCCGAGACAAGGTTACCAAGCGCTACAAATGCCATGTGTTCCGCTGCGACATTCCCGCCAAGGCCATTGCCAATGCCTTGCATGAGATCTGCGCCCGGGTCATGAGTGAGCGGCAAAAGGGCCACACCATCTCTATGGTAACACAGGGTCAAATGATCCAGCAGCAGCAACAGCAGCAGCTTATGCAAATGAGGAGCATCTCACTGGACAGCAGCAAGGAAGGCATTCCTACAAGTGGTAGGTGCTCAACCAGTCAGAAGTTGTGTACCATATCAGTTTTGCAAATCAGAGTTTACGTTGTTAAATACCTGCTGCTGACCAATCAGGACATCATTAATTATAAATTGATAAGACTTGCATTCCTGAAAAAGCAGTACATGTAGCAGTAATGATCACTGGCATATTACTTCATGCGGTTATAATAGGCTCAGTGATCCCAGAAGTAGCGTAAAATGCTATTTTCATGACATTCAGTGTATAAACAGTTACTCGGGAGCCAAGACATTTCTTACAATCACTCCACAGATAAAACACTGTTAATGTACCCAGTAAAAATGCAAAAATCAGTGCAATAAGCTAATGTTCTTTCTTTGAGATGATGTGTGGTCCCCGTGTTTGCAATTACCAGGACTGTTGTCACGACTTCAAATCTCTTGATTTATGCAAGGAGATTCCAAGCACATCTAACTGCAGAAATTCATAAATCCACTCAGCTGATATGATCACACTCTTCCCCCAAACCAATATCAGTAACGTGATACCATCCTCACGAAGTCTACAAACCGTCCAAACGCCCTTCTCTCCTTTATTGCCCCTCCCATGAGCACCCGAGGGAATGTAGAGTTCGGAGCGAGATTAGCTGCAATCGCGGCAGTGAAATCTAATTATTTTGAGGGAGGAATCCAAACACTAACTAGTTCAGTGTGTGGCCAGTGGCTTAATTAATGCAATTATCACACACAAAAGGAGGTAGGGTGGGCTGTGAAGTTGAGAGAGAGAATCGGGATGGTGGCATGGTAACCACATTTCGTTTGTACTAGTGCAAGATGGGAAGGGCACAATCTGGACTGGGGCATGACTCTGGAAGCAAAAGATACTGAAAGCACAACGTAGGAGTGAAAATGTTTGGCTGCATTAGAGAATTTTGATGGGACGCATTATGCTTTCATTTTGAGCAATATGTGTTAGAATGTGTCTGGCTTTCTTGTTTTTAAATTACATAGATTGAGTGATTCCATTCTGGTCTGGGTCATTGGTTTTTGAGTGTTTGTGATGTGGAACTTTGAGTAATATCTTGTGAGTTATGTTTTTATCAGGCAACTACTTTCTTCAAAAATACACTCAAATTGAAAAATAAACCCTTCCTTATTTGAAGGTACTGCGTACATACTAGTATATGCATATATGACTTGATCCAAGTATATTGAAATTGTATTTGTTTTTTTCCTTTTTTGACCCAGTTGATTTCCCCACTCCAAAGGCAGAGCCTATCACAGTATTCCGAGCTCACTATGTTGGCTCAACAATGGTGGAAAAGCATGGAGGTAGGTTGCAAATTCTCAATGCATTTCTCTGCAATATTGAACACAGTTTTTCAGTTTCATGTGTTGTAAAAAAGGCAGTCAAATTGCATTGTGATGGCAAGGGTGAAGGTTGGCATAAGAATAATCAGAGGTAGAGAAATGTCTGCTCTGAAGATGTTGTAAGAGCAGATATGAGAAACAGCTTGGGTTCTTGTAGCGTTTCTGATTCTCTGTTTGTTAATGTGTGTCATCAGGCATGGACATTCTGAATAATGCCATCAACCAAGTGTGCGGGGAGATACCAGAAGACCAGTGGTCACCCTCAAGAATTGAAGTTGCTGTATCCACAGTCACAGTCACCAACATCAAGGTAACCTGAATCACCAAAAAAATGCTGTAAAACTTCCTCTGCGAGCAAAAGTTTGGTTGCACTTCTATAGATGATGTATCATTATTGTCCTCATTGTGATTGTTCTTAACATGTGGTACATCTGTTGTGTTTTTGCATTTCCAGACCAAAGAAATAATCACAGAAAGCAGAATACGATTCCTATCATTCCTTGGCATTGGAAATGACATCAGGTAAAAAAAACAAATGTGCAATTGATGAAGCAATCTGTGTCATGACATTATCTGAAGATGATTACTTTGAATTACTTTCCGTCTGATCCTGATGCTTTGTACAGGCAATTTGCATACATCATGTGCGTCGGCAAGCAGAAGTTTCAGTGCCATGTCTTCCACTGTGAACATTCTGCAGGAGGTCTGGCCAAGTCAATTGAGGCTGCTTGCAAGGTATGTAACACAGGCTGACCCCTAGAACTCATTCCTAGCTGTAGAGGAAGGTGTGAAAGGCTGTATTTACCAAACGATTAGCTAACTGCACCTGTAGTCAAACTAGCATGGGCTATGGGCATAGATACCTACATGTACTAGTATGTTTGTGGCACTGACTTTCCATATCTCTCCTCATTCTTGGTGCTGAGTGATAGCCTTCTCTGACCGTGTGGGCTGGTTTAAGTTTCTGTCCAGCTCGCACATCCAAGTCAACTGTAGAATGCCAACCTAGGACATGGAGATCGGTTTCAATACACAGTTCTGCTCTTTTGGAAAGCTTCATTTACAATCTAACCCGCCGTACAAGCTAATCTTGACACGTCATACAGCGTGCGAGTACCCTCAAAGAAACACAATTACCCTACTAAAAGCTTACGCTCCAAAGTTACTGGACATGTGGGGGAAAAAATTCAACGTTAATTTAACCATTTTCCCCCCTCTCAGCTGAGATACCAGAAGTGCCTGGATAACCAACCAAAGGGTCAGCACCTGATGTCTGAGAATTCTGTGGATGGAAGGGTGAGTAAGGGCTGTTGGTACACTTTATTGTAGACTTTGTTGACAGAATATGACAAATAGCAGTAATGCTTTGGATGATTACTTTGAGGGTTTCACATTCTGGAACTGATATCTCGTTTTGCTGAAAAACATAATTTCCCCCATTGCTCATTGGACAGTTAGCGTCAGAATTTTGTCGGTACCATAACCACAACAGAACTCCAGTAGTGACATTCACAAGCAATCCCAGAACAAATGTATAAACTGACAGAAAAGAAAATGAATTTAACAGTTCTTCTTTGCTGTTACTTTTCTCTATACCCTCCCCAGATTCTTCATTTAACAAAATAAATCAATAAATTTTGATACTGTTGTTTTTTGCCAGACCTGGGGATGTGCCCTGAAGAACGGCATGCAGAACCTCTTCAGCAAATTCAGCCGGCGGAGCCAAAAAGAAGCCCCCATCAGTGCAGTATAAAGGTCAGCGGTTACACAGGTCATGAGACAGGTCAAGCCTGCTTGCATACTCAGCACTGACAGCAAGAGCTGACCTGATGTTTATCACTTTGGAGGGTTGAGGAACTTCTGTGGAAAAAGTACCTGAATTTTAAGTCATGACTCATAGACTTTTAAAAGTTCTCAGTATTCTGACATTGAAAAAAGCTTCGCTCAGATACTAAAGAAAATGTAGGGTATCATTACACTACAGACATCTTGTTAACTGTGTTATGTATGCAAACAAAAAAAAAACTGCTAAAAATGTTACTTAACTAAGGATGGTGCATAATACGCTGTTCACGTGTGCTGATCCTATATGATTAACAAGTTGTGTCTGTATGTATGTGCGTTCGTCTTTGAAGGATGATGGCTATTTATTTATTGAGAAAAATTGTGTTTGAGAATTGCTGTTATGTATGTATGAGTGTACATAAGGACTGCACATTGAAGCAACTCAAGCACTGTTGATAATGGGGTAAGGGGAATGTCGTATCCAGAATTGCCAACTTTTGTCCAAGCAGAAGTCAGTGTTTTCTGAAACCAAACGCTTGTGCAATACATGAAATATGTCAATTGTGACAGACTTGTGAGAATCTCATCTTGTGTGACCTGCTTTACTGTTACATTTGTGATCTGTGAGAGGAAAAATATTCGAAAAATTGGTCCACTCTTAAGATTGAAGTTTTGTTCTAAACAGGACTATAATCCGTTCACGGTATTCAAGGTTGTATATGTATTCTTAATTTATGCAGGATTTTATGCAGGACTTACAAAAAATAGTCCAACCAAAAACACCTGTCAGAGTTGATGATGTATTCACAAAAGGCTCGTTAGTAAATAATTAATGCCCTTATGCCAAGTCTCATTGTAAAATATGTATACATGCACTGAATGTGAACATAAATGAAGGCAAATAATTGTGGGCAAATGATATCTCATACATGTACATGTATTATAACTTCAGATATTCAGTAAAATTCACCCAAGAAGGATATCCATGAAAAAGTATTCTAAAGTACATGTATTCAGTTAGCCCATGATGGTACAGGAATACCTGTAAAACACTCAAGAATACAGCTGTTCTGGTTTTTTGGTTATCAATCAGCTGGCATTGTCAAATATAATTTAACAAATATCTGGATCTGAATTGGGTCCATATTTCTTGTATGAAAACAATGTATAGGCATTGTGCAGAGGCAGTGTGGTTTGAGTGTGTGCCTGTGATCGCTATGAACCATGGTCAGCACCATCTTGAAATTCCCGTAATTATGATAAAATCAAGCAGCCTAAAAGCCTCAACTACTGTAGTAAGCTTTGTGGTCCTTGATTAGTGGTTAAAAATAGAATACTAAATGCACAAAAAACAAATTCAAAAGAAGTCTGTGATAGTGTAGTAAATATGTAGAACAAATCTGGCAAACGGTGTAGTGTATATAAATATTAAAATGTCACACAGTCAGTAACAAGTAGAATTACTTCCTTTCTTAGAATTTGTCTTGCGGTATGTTTTGAAAATAATTTATTGATGAGATGGCAATCGTGAGCTTTCATGCACTGTTGTGATGGGTCAGGGAGATGTCAAAGGTCACTGGCCTGCAGATTTAGATCAGGTAAAAATTGAGATTTATCTGTCTGCTGTTATGGTGGACAAATTGGTTGCAGATTTGTGTCCAGTATGACCACGTTTGCCCTGCATAGAGTCATCTGCATCCACAGACACATTTGGTGGAAGATGTTTTAGCCTGAAGGGGAAACAATGTCATCAATCTAAATCTGTCAGTCGAAGACTGTACAGGAATTGGACAGGAGAAAACATTCACAAGTCAAGTGTTTCACATTCCGAATTGTGTTTTAAAGACTGTGTGAAGGGACAGTTGAAATAGTACAAGTACATTGAAATCTTCACTGTTTTAACAAAAGGAGTTAGTGTAACCTTGTACGTCACTAAAGCGTCCGCTGTTTTTACAAAGTGTCCTATGTGAAGGAATTTTTGTATTTTTGTGGACTGTGGTACAGCAGAAACTTAGAAACAACTGGAAGATGTAATTTTTAAAAGAAGGATTGGTGACTGCATGTACTGAAAAACATGAACTGAAATTGGTCTTTGTAAGGATAGAAAACTGTGAAATTTTTTTTCTTTTTCTACCTTAAATTTTGTTTTTAAAATTAATGTATGTGCTGAAAATAATGCCATTCCAAATGATATTAGCACAGTTTATCTGAATTTACACGATACATGAAGGGAGTAGGGCATATCTTATTATTGTAGCTTAGTGACTCATTCAGTCCATAGTGTAGACATGACTGTAGCGTGTTTTCCTAAGTGTAGGTAGTATGAAATGATAGCACAAAAGACACTGCACCATTTCAATGATGTTAGCAAGTAGGATGTATTTTCAAACCAAGTTACTACGTACAAAATAATTAAAGTGTTAGGGATGAGACTTCTGGGCATTTCTTTGTCTCAACGGTAATGCGTGTCCAGTGTTGATGAGACCATGCTTTGTGCACGTTGTGCCCTCTAGAGACAGGTATATGTACAGTGATTGCTCGGGGATAATACTTTCCTGGTAAACGTTGTGATTCTGAATGGTGCATGAGCACCAGCTAAATATTGCCCTGCATTACTCGGTTAGCGCCCTCCCATGAGTGTGCACAAGTTGGATAGGTTTAAAGGAAAATGAACAATTTTCTCTTGCAAATGTGGAATCTTTGTTTGGTTTCGATATCCATGTATTTGTGAAAGTATAAAAGAATGGATCTGCAAAACTTGTACTTAAATTTAAAGTAATGGTGATATTTAAAACGATTTGCACAAGCATATATGTAGCTACACAGTACACTGCATTAATATAGTCCAAGAACTCAGTGCAGATATATGTGGTCATTGTTAGTACTGGAGATATGATGTGTTGAATGTAGACCTAGAACATAATATGAAGTATATCATCGTAACTACAGAATTTCTTGTACTTGTCATGTGACTGCAACTTTTTGCCTCTCTTTCTTTGTGTATTCTTGATTATAAATTTGAAATAATGACTATCAGCTGCAGTTCCTAAAATTGGCAACAATACGATATTTGCTTACATAACTGGTCCATTGCTGATCCTGGCCTTAGTCAGATTGTAGTTGTAGCGATAGCCCTAATTCAGATACTACTGGCTCTTAGTTTAGTTGTAACCATTTTAATATGGGTTTAATGATTTTCCTAAAAGTGGTCAGAACACTTTGAAGGAGAAAAAAGGCGAGTTTTGTGAACTTATTGGAACCAAACTTTTTACGGCATTCTAAAAAGCAATGATTTTGGTAATGTTATTGATACGAGTGTTTTACTGGCAGAATATTCTTTTATTGTACTTACAAATTGGAGAATTATTTGAGATAGATAGATGAAGAAGTTTACCTGTAAGGTGCAATTTGTTGGCAAGGTCCATCCTCACTAATTCTTGTTTATTTTTGTGTAGTTTTTAGTAAGATATGATATCTATGAAGTGACAGAACTTGTGGAAAGATGAATGTCATATCTTCAGTACATTTGTCAATACAGTTACTTTTTTATATGAATTTTTGCCAAAAACCTGACTTTTTTCCCTGTTTTTCTAGTTTTGTTTTGGCATTTGTGTTTCACCCACCGTAGTTGGTAGTGTACAGCTAAAGTTGATTTGAACTTAAAATATGGTAAATCTGTGTCATATGATCATTATTTTTGCACTGGTATGGTATTTTGTTTTGTCATTACCTCCATTGGATTATGTATGATACTTTTTAAATTATTGTAAATTGTTTTTATGTACCTCTGTATAGCTTTAACCTTGCCGTTGGTTTTCACCAAAGCATCATGGGTATTTTCTTAAGGAAGACTTTAGTGTTGAAGGGATGTTTTAGAAAATGGAGGCACTATAGAAAGACATCATGATGTTCCCTTGAAATGCATAATTTCAATGTTTTGGAGTACTGTCTTCTAATGTGATCCCTAATGGGATTTGCATAATTGAATCAGGCATTCTAATAATACAATTTGCATAAATTTACATTGGTGTACTGATCCTCCAAATGTCTACTGATGAAGCCTTTTGCCACAGTCATGAGTTTCTAATCATGTTAGTTGAAGGATGCCTGGATATCTCAGTGAAATTGCACTAAAGAGATCTGTTTTGCAATCAAAACGTTTGCAAAGGCAGATTAGTGGTCCATTTTTACAATGGCAAAGGAAACGTATGAATTCTTCATGCTAAATTTTTTTCATTAAATTGCACTTAACCACAAGTGACCTCTCTCTCTATATATTTTTCATCCACCTTACCTGATAGCGTTGATAGCTTAGGTAGGTTAGCACACCTCATGACAACATCAGATAAATGTTTCAACAGCCAATTGTATATGGTTAATAGTTTGATATATTAGAAGCATTCAGAAGTATTTAAAAAATACCCATGATGCTTTGAAGTTGTTTGAAACTTATCAGGTGGAGCATGGAAAGTGTAGTTAGATATTTTGTTTATCATAGTTGCGATTATGAAAGAAGATATACATAATTATTTTATTTGTATGTTTCATTGATGACTGAGGTTTTCAGATTATGTTTTGTCATGGCAACCCACACTCCTTGATATATTTGATGCGTGTTTGTGTGTGATTGAAATTGTGCAGAGTATGGTCTATAATTGTACAGAATAAAACAAATTAGTTGATGCACTTCATGGCTGATTATATAAAGAGAAGTCATCATGATATGGTTATTGATATCTTTATTGATGTTATTGTAATACTTTATTGATACTTTATTGGTCTCATTATGAAGCGTTATTGCTGTTATGATGATACTTTGATGCTATAACTGTTATATTGTAAAAAGTAGAAAGCTTGCCAATTTTATTTTCTTACGGTATTTTGTGTACACATTTCACAACAGACTCTTTCAAAACCACCCTACTGCTTAGCTCTTTATAGCTGTTTATATAATGTGCAGGTTAAAGTCAGACACTTTGGGATAAAAGATTTCACGGTCCTAGATTTTCTCACAAGCATCTTGGAAACTCACTCAAGTTGGAAACTACTTTAAATTTTTTTCCAGAGAGTTGATGTGAGAACATCGCGATTCAAATTTTGCTTGGAACACTTGCTTTGACTATGTTTTGCCGTTTCTTAATAACCCAACAGGATAATTAAAACATAAAAAATTGTCAAAATGCAGCAAAACCCTTCACTTTTGCAAACATTTCCAACCTTCTTGGACCCAGGCCTGCCTTAACAGTAGTTGTTGAACCCACTTCTAGTAAAAGTGAGGTTTCGTGTGGCAACAAATGTAGGTGAGCAGTTCACACGTGGCAGGATATACTTGATTTTTTTTAGGGGGGGGTAGAATTCAAACAGATGTTATACAGTAAAAGACATTATGATAGGTGAATTACTCATGTGAAAATAATTGTAAGTTCCCTTGTAAGCCTTATGCTGTTACATAACTGTGTGATTTTTGCTTTGTGTCTAAAACATAAGTATCATTTTGTTAATTTATGGGGATTTTTTTCTGTCTCAGAATATTATTTTTGTATGAAACGAGAGTCTGTTGTGGAAAGAAATTATTGACAAAAATCAGATATTTATTTCATATGTAGGCACACTCAATGGCTTTTGCCTTGCCAGTTTAATCTTGCCCCAGAAGTATGGAGATATTTTTTATGTAGAGGTGGTTGAATTCTACAAGGGATTGAAAAATCAAACAAACAACCCAGCAAATAAACAAACAAAGAAAAGAAACCCTGAAATAGGAATTGAGTATTGAAGGAACTAATTAATTCTGTCCTTGTTACAACATTGGAACATTGGTAAATTGGAGAAATGATCTTCATTTCTTACAGAACTATACTGTGAAATACACAAAAAAAGTTGAAAATTGTGTAAAGGTCACCACACAAATGGAACACTGACTGTAGTGTTAAAAGAGTATAGTTATTGGCAAGGCAAGAGTTATTCTGTTGTTGCTTTTATGCACTTTCGTGTCAATATGTGGATAAAACGAGATGTACTTCTGCTAATAAATGTTGCAACGCATAAATAAACTGAAGTATTATAGACCATGTTATTTCATCTTGGAGAGTAGAACAAGTCAATGATTGTTAGTCCTCATCTATATTTTTCATACGTGGAGGAACATTTGTAAAGCAATGTGTCTTTAAAACAACACTTTAATTCCTTTGCCATTCTCCCCCCCCCCTTGAGCACACACACGTACATGTACAGTCTCCAAAAAATGTAATTTTTACAGGTATAGTTTGTTGTGTCTAGGCAACATCACTTCAGAAAGAAATGGAATAGTCAGCGTGGGACAATGGTTTTTAACAAGGGACTATTTGAAAGCAGTTTTTAAAAAAGGACTGTTTGACAAGTAAATATTTCCGAGGAAGAGTATTTTTGACGTGTAAATTTTTTTTTCTTTTTATTTATAACATTTCAAGAGAAGCGACATGTTTAGAGACTAGTCTTTTTCCTTGACAAAAGAGGGCGCCATATAACATTATTGGACAGCAGTAAAGTTGCACTACAACGCTCATTTTTGAATGTAACCACCCGCTTCAATACAAAATAGGTCCGCAATTTCGGGCTTTTTGTGAAAGAAATACCCTGAACTGGAGAAAATCAGTCCTAAATTCGAGATTCATAGATCCACTTCTATGATGCCTCCTGATTATTGCCTGTCTTATTGTGAAAACCCCTCGGGATCGCAAAATATTAATGAGTTCGCGCGCAGAAATACAACCATTTGGTGGAATGCACCCGTAAGCGAAAATTTTCTTCTTGAGGGCGCTCTGTTAAAATTACGTGGGCGCGGTTCTCTTTCTTGAGGGCGCTATTTAATAAAGCAATAATTGCAATGGGAATTTTTCTTGATGGCGCTCTTTTAAAATCTCATGGTTTTTCTTTCTTGAGGGCGCTATTTAATAAAGCAATAATTGCAATAGGAATTTTTTTCTTGATGGCGCTCTTTTAAAATCTCGTGGTTTTCTTTCTTGAGGGCGCTATTTAATAAATCGTTGCTAAGTAACGCTGCGCCCTCAAGGAAACTTTTTTCAAACTATAAATCAAATAGTGCCCTCAAGGAAGATGCACAGTCCAAAACTTGTCTGTTTTTCGTATAGAACGCCCTCAAGAGAGGTAGTGTTGACAGCCAATGTAAGCAATTTCTTGCAAAGTTGCATGAGCTGTGTTGTGGGAGTAGAATAAAATTGTGAAGAAAAGCATTTCTTTTCATATCGTGACGCAAAAAGTGCTTTGTATGAAGACAGTAATATGTTAGGAGTCTCAGCAAAGACAGCAAGGAAAGGTATGGTGAAATATATCTTTTTAAAATTAAGCCATTTAACTTAAAACTTTTCCTACCTCCATTCGACATGTTCGATAGATCATAGAGAATACTGATCAACTCATGATTAACTCAACTGACATGGTCAGTTGTAGCCCAAGACCGGGGGCCAGTCTAATACTGGACTCCCACCGTAGGACCTACCCCTGGAACTGATGGGTCCGATGTCCGCTGCGCTGCCACGTGCCAGCAGAGCAGACGTTGGACCCTACAGCTCTGGGGGTGCGTAGGACCTAGGTCCCACGGCAGTCCATTCATAAAGTGAAGACTCAGCAAAATGCCTTCTATGAATTTCATTTTGCATGTATGGATCACTCACCCCATCAATACTCTGTTGTGTTACTTTGGGCGATTTCCAATTTGTACTTGTAGAGAAATCCGTGAAATTTTGGTTTCGATTTGGACCATTCGTTTACTAAGGGATGTGTCACTGAAATTGATTTGAAACTATTTTTATTTGTTTGGCAGGTAATTTGCAGTACTTATTCAGTTTTGGAAATTAAACAGTGAGTTCTAATTATAAAAAATCAAATGCCATACATAATAAGGAGAGGGAAAAGTGGACCCCAAATTTATAGAATGACCTACATGCATGTTGGACATGGGTTTAAGACATACATGATGATATTTTCAACCAGCTTCTAGCCATGTGGCTACCACCATTCTCATGCTTAATTCTCACTTAATCCTTGGAGCCCAGAAAACGCCTTGACAAAACAAGGTCCATGGAAGGTATCTGAGTGCACTTGTACAACAACACAATTTCTCATAATAGTTATTATTTGCCTACCTTTAGAACAAGGACGTACTTACCCCCAGTCTACATCTTAGTATATATATCACTCATAGCAGGATTTAATTCCATGAAATTTGGGCAGTATTTGATTTAACTTCATTAAGATTGGGAATTCCTTTAAAATTTCTCAAAGTTCTCCAGAACATGCTGTTTCTGGTTGCTCCTTATGACCTTATATCTTAAAAAGTTGTTGACAATTTTATCGTTTTAATAACCACAGTTCTGACTGTTTTTGTAATTTGCTTATTTGAAAAGTTAACATTTGAAATGTATTTATTTATATTTTGGCAGGAGGACTGAAATAAATGATGGCAAAGCAGCTTTATTACTTCATCTTCCAGCCAGTCACCAACGATGACTATATGTCTCCCATCCTGTCCATCAGTTCGCCAACTTGATCATTCCCACCAACCAGCAAAGAACAAACACTGTTTTAACGGTGGGACGTTTACAGGTTAAAATGTTAGAGGTTTAACATTTTGATGGATGCAATCTGGGGTTTTATTGTAAATAATCCTTATTACATGTTTTTTTTCTCTTTTAGCATCCATGTACTTTTTGAGAAAGAAATGGATTCTAAACAATAAACGTTGTTCGTTTAAAGTGCCCCAACATCAGTCTACTACATTGTTTGAACCATGTGCATTATTGAACTATATAATTATGCATATATGAAAACACTGAGGTAGGCAGCGTCCTCTGTAAAGTGTTGGCTAAACATTTAAGTTTTTGTAAACGTTTTTTCAAATTTAATGTAAATTCCCACCCCTACTGTGTTTATTACTGCCACATGGTATCTTAACTGCAAGGCCTGAAATTTTATGTTCAACTTCCCTTTTGAAATCTCATTTACAAAAATGTAATGTTATATCTTCAGAGGTGTATTAAAAAGCCTGAATTATCAACACAAAAACCAAACAGCTGATCTTTGAAATGGAGTTAAGTAAATATGTAAATTTACAAGACAGTCAATGCTAGTGTCCAATAAACTTAAAGGGACCAGACAAATTGCTTTGCTATAAAGGGAGAGGAAAAACAAAAAACTCAAGAAATCCAGATATTTGGATTTTCAGAATAACCTCCTAAACAGATTCTTCATAATAGTATTCTGAACTGAATAGAGTGAACTGTACATATTATGTACAAGACATTGGTGGAAGTTAACAAATGTGAAAACTTCCAAATACTGCAATATCAAAAGAGAGCTAATTGTTCCCATAGATTTTACAATTGGCACTATTCTGAATGTATAAGAGTGTCCTAAATTACTTTTTCTTGATGAGTTTCATCTCTCATGGTAACAAACAGCATCAGAGTAACCTGTGATTTTCCCATTTCTTGATAAAAGTCTAGACTTTTATCAAGAAATGGGGAAATCACAGTTGTTGGTTTTATTATGGCATGATAAGGCTGTAATTGTTTCGGAATTCATTCAACAGTCAAATCAGTATTGTACACATAAATTATGTATCATATACCTGGTTTCCCCTTAATTGAGTGTTATATATAGGTACAAATAAATTGGAGTAAAAGCAATAGCTTTGATGTCAATTATTTGATTAAGTTGGTGGTCATTTGTTTTCGTTCATCTTGTATTATTTTTAATGTATTGGACTTGGGACTGTATAATCAGACGGGAGGAAAGGAAGGATGAGAACCAAATTCGTTGGGGGCCTTTTTTTCCTGGGGAAAAAAATTAAATTTTATTATTAAACATTTACAGCTATTCATTCTGGCGGTTGGGAGTAGACTTTTTTAAACCCTCATTGGGAAGGAAGAGAAAATAAAACCTCCCCTTTTATGTCCCTAAAACAAACTTGCGCCTTCTTTTTGTGGAGGCAGAGACCCCGCTGCCCCCCTCCATCCGCTGCTGATTGATTAGGTTGAATGTCCTCCTCGATACATATCAAAGGTGTTATTAATTCATTGACATCGGTGCAGCAACTCATGAAGTTTTTACAATTTTTTTGTTGTGCACTTGAACTGAGAATGATTATTTTATCGAAAGCACTGTCATCAGTTAGTTGTGTGGCTCAATGTGCCATTCAAAAACACTTTTTTCCCTGATGGACTCCTTCAAATTTTGAAGTAAATCAAATAATACCTGTGACTGCAGATATAATTTCATTTTTACTGTTTCGTCGGAGCAAATGTATTTCCTTTTTTGCGCACTTAACGATTATTTTCAACATTGGAAAATGAACTGCATTTCTAGTACTTCACTGGTATCCCGTCCCTGACGTGAAACCTTACGAGAAAAGCGGTAACCAGCTTTTTGGACCGTAAAGAAAATCTCGTTTGGACCGCCGATATGGCCCTTTCTGTACACGGCTGGTTGTGCACACGTGTATAGGGCATAGGCGAGCTACAAAATAGGCCGTTTCGGCGTTTCCATCGAACATGCGCATTACGTACAACCATATGGTAAGCGCTACACTGAAAGAGTGGGCATATCAGTGTTTCCCATCGACGGCGCATTGTGCACACAAGTATAGGGCATAGCGAGCTATGAAACAAGCT